GTCTCTCGAAGATGCTTTTAGAATTAATTTTTATTTATTAACTTTTACTTTGTTATGCTACGTAAAGATTTTTCGACCTTTTCTCCTACATGTGGAATAAAGAATATAGTAAGCCCACCGTCAAGTTTCTCTATTTCTTAAAGCAACAAAATGAAAATTGTACCTCATTTTCCAAATTGTTGCACACAATCACAAGAAACCAACAATAATGTACCTTTACATGGGTGCTTGGAAAGGCATATGTGCGTTGAGTCTCCTGTTTCTCATCCATCAACTTGCGCCTTGGTACACTCAGTATGAAGGCCGCTTGATCACTAGTAGTAGCCATTGATGTTATTCTATAACCACTCTCCCATCGGCGATGTATTCCTTCACTTGGGTACAGAAAATCAAGTTCTACAACCTACCAATGTTGATAAATCCATTAGAGAAGGCAAGGAATTCCACAAATATTTTTACAATCAAATAATCAAGCGGAATCTGAATCATTCAAAATGAAATCAACGGTCACGAGCTTAAACTTCTAGAAGAAGGAACATGCCATACAACTCATATGCGAGTAAAGAAATGACATGTGTCATTGTTATTAATTGAAGCAATGATTATAGAAAATTGGGAATTGTACAAGTCACTTCATTAGGTCAATCCACAGTTAGGTCTGTACTGACCTAGGGGGTATCTGTTGATGTGCCGAGCTCAGAGGTCGGTTAGATCAGATTAATACACGTGATGAGCACGTGACGATGTAAGATTACTAGGGCCCACCTGTAATTAACAGGGCCCACTTGTAAGATTTGCTCATCATGAAACTGCCAGATTGAGCTTGGTGGCCAATTGAATTATTCCAACGTGTGTACTTCTCCAGTTCGGAATTGTAGATGGCAAGACGGGAAATTAATGAAGAATGTATATTTTCTCCTATAAAAGAGAAAATGGTTGTAAAGAAAAGGAGAAACTTTTTCACTTACAAACGTTCTTACATATCATATTTCAAATATCTCATTGACAAAGACAAGAGTAACGCATTTGTAACTACGCTAGCTATTCTAGTAATTCACGTGTAGTTATCAATAAATAGTTCTTATTATATTTTAAGTTGGCTTGAATCTTGTTCATACAATTTTCGACGTCAACAGATGTCATCGACGTAAATTTGAGCTATGGTGATTGTTTCCTCAATATGTCTAATGAATAAAGTTCCATCCGCGCCACTTCTAGAAAAACCATGTTCCATGAGATATGCAGTTAGTCTATCATACCAAGCTCTAGGAGCTTGTTTAAAATCATATAAGGCTTTGTTCAATTTATAAACATAATGCGGAAATTTATGATCAATAAATCATTTAGATTGTTCAACATAGGCTTCTTCCTGAAGTATTTCATTCAAGAAAGCACTCTTGACATCCATTTGATACAATTTGAATCCTAAAGTGCAGGCAACAGTCCGAAGAATTCTATTGGATTCAAGTTGAACTATCGGGGCAAATGTTTCATCAAAGTCAACTCCTTCAACCTGAGTATATCCATGGGCAACTAACCTAGCCTTGTTTCAAGTTATGGTACCTTGATCATCGATTTTATTCTTAAATATCCACGTAGTACTTATAACATTGGTGTTATCAGGCCTAGGAACTAAATGCCATACATTGTTTCTCACAAACTGATTTAGCTTCTCATGCATCGCATTTACCCAACATTCATCACTAAGTGCATCTTTAACTTTCTTAGGCTTAATCTGAGATACATAACTAGCAAATGTCAGGTTGTTTAAAACCCT